GACCCCATTTTGGGTGTAAAATCCCCTTTTTCCCATCATTTCCCTGACCCCATTTTGGGTGTAAAATCCCCTTTTTCCCATCATTTCCCTGACCCCATTTTGGGTGTAAAATTCCCATTTTTCCCATCATTTCCCTGACCCCATTTTGGGTGTAAAATTCCCCTTTTTCCCATCATTTCCCTGACCCCATTTTGGGTGTAAAATCCCCTTTTTTCCATCATTTCTGCCAGGACAATCCGCACTTGGGTGGGTGAAATGATGGTTGGAAAGTCGAGAGAAATTTTATCAGTCGGAATGTATGAAAAAAAGGGCAAAAAACACAGAAAAAACCCTTTTTTCCATCAATTTAGCCCCCCAAAAAATTAAAATATAATTAATTTGGGTGGTACTTTGGGGGGTACTGGCTAACATTGGCCTCCCTGGTGGTCTAGTGGTTAGGATTCGGCGCTCTCACCGCCGCGGCCCGGGTTCGATTCCCGGTCAGGGAAGGATTTTTTTAATTTACATAAAACCAATTAAAATTTCATTGATTTGTTCATTTATTTTAATCTCTTTTTAGTGAAACATCTCCTAAGCCCCAAAATTTCCCTTTTTCTCCTCTTTTTGGTGCTTCTCGCTCCGTTAGCGAGCGATAAATAAATGAGTAAAAAGGAAATAAGCAATAATGATATTTTATTTATTAAATGTATTGAATGTATTCATTTATATGAAAGGCGTTTAACGGCTGTGCTAAAATAACTGCAATTATAATATACATATATATAATAAAATTAATATTTATATTATATGACATTACATTACATTACATTATATTATATTATATTATATTATATTATATTATATTATATTATATAATGCAAATTTTTTATAATGTAAATAATATTTCTGTAATATATTAATATACTATATTATTATATATTATTTATAACACATGATTATTTGTAATATATTAGAAATAATATGTTTTTATTACAATATTTATATTACATTACATTACATTACATTACATTACATTACATTATATTATATTATATTATATTATATTATATATTTCATGATATGATACTGTGTTATATTAAATTATATTAAATTATATTAAATTAATTATATTCATTTATATTTAGTTATGTTACATTACATTACATTACATTATATATAAAATATTTAAAAAAATATATATATATATATATAAAATTCCGAAATTAAACAATGACGATTGTTGAGGCCTTAATTATTTGTAATTAGGATTTTTTAATGGAGATTAATCATTTCAGAAGGCAGCAAGATTTCCAAAAATTACAGAAACATGGAAAAGGGGGGGGAGATTTGAAATATGAACATTTTCTAATAATAATTATAAAAAATTGGAATTAATAACTTGAAAGAGAGGGATAATAATTGGAAAAAAATTGTAATTTTAGAGAGGGAAAAAATAAGATTTAAAAAGGGACTGACGCTTTGAAAAGGAGAATCATGATATCAAAAGGAATGAAAATTTGAAATGATTTATAATAATAGTAATTGATGAAGGAAGAATAATTTGGAAAAGGGGAATTAATTTAATTTATTTTTATTTTTGACCAAAATTGGCCGTGTCAGGAGTGGGATTCGAACCCACGCCTCCAGCAGGAGACCAGAATTCCCGAGGGAAGGAGAAATTCCTTGAGTCTGGCGCCTTAGACCACTCGGCCATCCTGACGGCGAAAATTTGGGGTAAAAAACAGTGAATCGGGCATTTAAAAATCAGAATTTGTCACTTTTATTTTAATTTAATTTAATTTAATTTAATAATTTAATTTAATTTAATTTAATTTAATTTAATTTAATTTAATTTAATTTAATTTTATTTTATTTTATTTTATTTTATTTTATTTTATTTTATTTTATTTTATTTTATTAAATTTTATTTTATTAAATTTTATTCATTTATTCATTCACTCATTCATTCATTAATTCATGTATTTATTTATTTATTTATTTTGGGTTTTTTGTTTGGGAGGCATTTAGTTTTATTTTAATTTACTTTTAATTAATTTTATTTTTTAAATTTTTTATCTTTGAGTCTGGCGCCTTAGACCACTCGGCCATCCTGACAGCGGAAATTTGGGGCAAAAAACAGCAAAACGGGCATTTAAAAATCAAAATTTGTCACTTTTATTCAATCATTCCTTCATTCATTCCTTCATTCATTCCTTCATTCATTCAATAAAAAAGGGAGGAAAAAAAAATGAACAAACGCCCAAAAAAGAAGGGAATAATAAGGTAAGAATAATAATTTTTAAGTATAATAATAATCAAGAAGAATAAATTTAAGTAATGAAAATTTAAAAATTACGATCATGTAAAAATGAGGAAAAATAAAATAATAAATGAGATGAGATTTCGGAAGTGAAAGGAATAAACATACATATAAATATATATATAAAAATAGATAAGAAGTATATATAATAAATACATATAATAAACATATCTAATAATTATATATATAATAAATATCTATAAAATAAATATAATTTTTGGGGGGATAAATATATATAATAAATACATATATTAAATATATCTAATAAATATATCTATAANGGGGGGATAAATATATATAATAAATACATATATTAAATATATCTAATAAATATATCTATAATAAATATATATAAAATAAATATAATTTTGGGGGGGATAAATATATATAATAAATACATATATTAAATATATCTAATAAATATATCTATAATAAATATCTATAAAATAAATATAATTTTTTGGGGTGGATCAGTAATAAAATAAGATTTCTCCGCCCAACGTGGGGCTCGAACCCACGACCCTGAGATTAAGAGTCTCATGCTCTGCCGACTGAGCTAGCCGGGCGCTGGGATATTAACGACAAAATTCCATTTTTTTCCCCCAAATTTTCGTCCTGATTTTGGGTAAATTTGGGGCAAAAGCTCCAAAAGGATCCCCCGGGAACCAAAAAAAAAATCCCGCCCAAAGGCGAGAGGTTCCGGAGTGATTTTAACCCTGTTGAAACGAGAAAATAAAATAAATATTCCATATTTTGGTGGGTTCTGAGTGTGGAATTCCCAAAAATAAAATAAATATTTATTTTGGTGGATCTCAAGTATGGAATTCCCAAAAATGCAAATAAATATTTATTTCGGTGTATCCTGAGTGTGGAATTCCCAAAAATAGAAATAAATATTCAAAATCTTGGTCCATCCCATTCCCAAACTGACAAATTAATTTAATTTAATTTAATTTAATTTAATTTAATTTAATTTAATTTAATTTAATTTAATTTTTATTTTATTTTATTTTATTTTATTTTATTTTATTTTAAGAAGCACAGCACCGCCCGTTTCTGTAGTGTAGCGATTATCACGTTCGCTTTTATTTTATTTTATTTTAT